CACCCGCGACCCGCGACCCGCCCACGACCCACCCGCGACCCGGCCCGCGACCCGCCCGCGACCCGCCCGCGACCCGCCCGCGACCCGACCACGACCCTCCCGCGATCCACCCGCGACCCCCACCCGCGACCATCCCGCGGCCCACCCGCGACCGACCACGCCGCGACCGACCACCCTGCGACCCACGGGCGACCCATCCGCGACCCACCCGCGACCCACCCGCGACCCACCCGCGACCCGCTCGCGACCCGCCCGCGATTCGCCCGCGACCCACCCGCGACCCACCCGCGACCCACCCGCGACCCACCCGCGACCCACCCGCGACCGCCCCCTCACTCTTATCCGCATTTGCGGGGTGGTACATAAAGAACAAGCTCGAAGTCGATCGTTGCATCATACGGCAACGCATTCCAGCAAATGCGGCATTCGCTGTCGTCAGCTGAGACTGCAGGCGATAAGAAACAGTTAATTGCTGTGCCAGGACTGGGACATATGACTACCGCGCTCACAGATTAGAAGTACGTCCCCTGGCCTAGCCAGGAGGACGGCTTCAACAACCTCGTGGGCCCACATACAGTCGAAATCAATGATAAGGATGGGCAACCTTCCCGAAGGTACCCTTGCATCCTTGGCTCTTCGGTCCATCCGTAATCACTTCAATGGCCAGCTCCGCTCGGAAAGCTGCGACATGGGCATCCATGGGGCTCGCATCCTTATCGCGCATCCTTGCTATCAATTTTGACTGTAGGAAGGGCCCAGGCACATGCACTGCGTTGGTATACCATCCCTGACCCCCGACGTCGTGATTTTTCACGACGTGGGCCACGAGTTCTGGACCCCACTCCCGGGACCGCACGATTGCCCCTAGGCCCGAGAAAAGCTCCGGAGGCCGAATGGTCGAGAAACAAACACCAGGATCGGTCTTGGTGCGTGGTCGGCGCCCTCCTACCCTGCTGCAGGCGTTGCGTGTGGTTTCGGCAAGCGCGATAGGCCGATGTTCCACCACCACTACCATTCCTCCTCCTTCTCCTCCACCTTCTCGTCGTCGTCCTCCTCCTCCTCCTCCTCGTCCTCCTCCTCCTCCTCCTCCTCCTCCTCCTCCTCCTCGTCTTGCCCTTTCCCACCATTCCAGCTTCTCGCTGAAGGCTCCATCCGCGCGGAGCCGGTCACCGTCCACCCACAAAGGACTTTCGCTTTCGCGCAAGTCTCTCCTCCTGAGTGAAGAAAACCGCGCACATCAGGGGTGGATTTGCAATGTGGCGAAAAGGTGAGACAGTCGTGTGAATTGCGCTGCCAGCCGCTGTATTCTGCCCTCCTCAGTCAGGGGCGGCAGGCATCACCGAAGAGCGGCGATCACAACACGGCCACTTCCACACACAGGGACCAGCCGCCTCAAGGCTGTGTCCTCCGCCGGTATCCTCCTCCCTCTCCCACCGATGTCCCACCACCACTACCATAGGCGGACGTGGGCAGAAGGGAGGATGGGGAGGTCCTCCTTCTCCTTCTCATCCTTCTCCTCCTCCTCCTCCTCCTCATTTCCTTCCTCCTTTCCCTCCTCCTCCTCCTCCTACTACTTCCGTGGCGGCCGGCCCCTGCGCCACTGCTTGCCTTGCCAGGCCCCTGGGCTCGCACCCTCCCATCTGCTTAGCCCAGCCCAGGAGTCTTGCGTGAGCCCAACAGTGAGTCCGTGCTCCTTCTCCTCCTCCTCCTGCTCCTTCTTCTCCTCCTCCTCCTTCTCCTCCAGGATGGCGATTATATTGTTGGCAGTGTCCCTGAACGTTTGGAGTTTCAGGCTCGTGTGTGGTCGGGCTACTGGCAACAACACTCCGCCGACTCTGCTCGCAAGTGTCTTGCCGATTTGCGGTCGTTGGCTCGTGAAAGCCCGCCTCTAGATCCCATCACGCTTGATGCGTTGGACGCGGCGTTGAAATCAATGCCTGACGGCCGAGGGCGCGGCCCTGACCTGATTCCCCCTCGGTTGATCAAGGAGGCCAGTGTAGAAGCCAAGATGCAGTTCGTTGCGCTGCTCACGGATATCGAGTGCTCGGCCACCCTGCCATTGTCCCAGGCTTTCTGTTTCGTTGCGCTTCTGGATAAGCCTGACGGAGGCTTCCGCCCCATCGCCTCAATGGGCTTTGCCTATGTCGTCTTGGTACGCATACGGCACCCGTACATTTCTAAGTGGGATTCTGCCCACCACGGGGTGTGGGATAAGTCCGTGGGCGGCGGGGCTGATGAGGCGGGGTGGTTGGATGAGTTGGAAAGTGAATTGGCCATCCTTCGAGGGTTCATGGTCGGAGGGGGTCTTCTCGACCTCGCTAAATTCTTTACGCTTCGCATATCCCCACCAGCCCATCTCACAACAGCAACTCATGCGAAGCATGGCGACAGTCGTGTTTTTCAGGCGTGTGTCCGTTTGGCCCCGCATATCTCCCCTGTTCCTCCTTCCTCCCGCCTCCTTGTACATCCTCCTTGTGGGGGGAGCGGGAGAAGGACGAGGCGGAGGAGGAGGGAGAGAAAGCGCTCCTCGTGATTTGAGTCGTTTGGGGTTTCTCGTCCTGGTGTGAGTCGTTCGGGCCCTTCTTCCTGGTGTGAGTCGTTCGGGCTCTTCGTGGTGTGAGTCGTTCGGGCTCTTCGTCCTGGTGTGAGTCGTTCGGGCTTCTCGTGGTGTGAGTTGTTCGGGCCCCTCATCCTGGTGTGAGTCGTTCGGGCCCCTCCTCCTGGTGTGACTCGTTCGGGCTCCTCGTGGTGTGAGTCGTTCGGGGCCCGCGTCGTGGTGTGAGTCGTTCGGGCTCCTCGTGGTGTGAGTCGTTCGGGCGCCTCGTCCTGGTGTGAGTCGTTCGGGCCCCTCCTTGTGGTGTGAGTCGTTCGGGCTCTTCGTGGTGTGAGTCGTTCGGGCCCCTCGTCCTGGTGTGAGTCGTTCGGGCTCCTCGTGGGGCCTCTTGGGGGCCTCTTGGAGCCTCTTGGGGCCTCTTGGGGGCCTCTTGGGGGCCTCTTGGGGGCCTCTTGGGGGCCTCCTGGGGCCTCTGGGGGCCTCTTGGGGGCCTCTCTAAACCACTCACGCCCTAAAGGGCTGGTGGGATTTCACGACCAACTCGAGATGGCAGCGTTGGCCGAAACTGCCAGGGATTTAGGATATCCAGTGCGGCTCTTGGCGCTCGCCGTGGAAGCGTACCTAGGGCCAAGGCTTCTCACGCTGGACCAGGCTGTTCACAGAGGTGTCCTCCCGTCGGGAGGTGTTTTGCCGGGCTGCGGACAGGCTGTCTCTCTCTCGCGCGCGTGTCTTTACAGTGCCTGCGATGCCGCTTTTAATGCCAGCGCAGCCCTTCATTTAAGGCAGTGGGTTGATGACATCGCGTTTCGCATCTTCGGAACTGAGCAGTCGATCCTCGGCATCTTCCCTGTTGTTGTTCGCACGTTGGTGAGGGGCCTCCTGAAGGCCAAGTGCCAGCTCTCAGTTCCAAAGTGTGTTTTTCTTGCCTCGAATGCTTCGCTGCGGAATCAGCTTTCGCAAGCAGCGGCAGGTACTGCATTGGCAGGCGTCGGGGCAGTTTTGCACGCTAGGGATCTAGGCCACGACACAACCTTCTTGAATCGTCGCGCGGCCAAGGTCCGGCAGGATAGGTTTAGCAAGGGGGCCCGGGCTGCCGGCAAGATAAGGCGTTTCACTCGTGCCGACAAGCGTTCGCCGAAGTTATATTTTACTAATGCCTACCCCAAGGCGATGTGGGCTGCTGAAGTGCACGGGATCAGCCCTTCTAGTCTCCGATTGCTGCGCCGAGGTGCGCATGCCAGTAGTCTTGTGAGTGGTCCAGGCACGTGTGCGACCACTGCTATCAGGCTGTCTTTCGGGGCGGGCCGTGACCCGTGACCCTGTCCAGGTCCACATTCGTCGCCTCGTAGCCACGTGGCTGGGCCGGCTCGCAAAACGCCCGAATCTTTTCTCTCGAGTTGAAGCTGCCTGGCAGATCTCGTTGGACAGAGCGAAGAAAGGCTGGAGTTGGGTGAGGGGCCCACTTTCAGCCTTGCAGGCGAGCTTGTTGCACATAGGGTGGTCTTGCCCCAGCGCTCGCAAATTTATCAATCCAGCGGGAGATTCCTGGGCTTTGGTAGAGGATGCATCTTTCCCTGCCACTCCGTTATTGGAGGATTTAAGCGCCAGCATCGAGAGCATGCAGTGGCTGGAGGCCTCTAAGTTTTATCTCGGGAAAAGTGCTGAGCGAGGAGTCTCTTGGCAGCACGTGGGAGAGCACGCTAGGAAACTCACGAAAGACGGTGAGGCAGGTCTGGCAGCAATGGTCAGAACCATTGCGGCCGGAGGCATGTGGACAGAATCGCGCAAATTCGAATGTGGCATTGTTCCCGATAGCGTTTGTCAGCGATGTTTTCGATCCGACGAGAGCCCTCAGCACAGGGCTTGGGAATGCATGTGTAATGCCAGTCATGACAGCGCCTGGGTGACTGACACTGAGCATCTGCGGCATGAGGCCCTTGCAGATTTCGAGGTTGCCCAAATTTTCTGGGGAAGAGGGCTCATTCCCAGTGATTGGTTGGATCTTCCTCCCTCTCCTTCCTCTCGCCTTCTGGAGTACCTCGGGTGCGAGCCCTCGACCCCATTCCCTGGCGGAACCTATGGTTCTGATGGTGCAGGCGGACAGTGGTCGCAGCACACGCTTCTCCGCAGAGTCTCCTTTAGTTTTGCTCGCCTGGATGTTGATGAGGACGGAGTGCCTTCCTGGAGCCATGGAGTTACAGGTGTCTGTGACAGCTCCCGCCAGAGTGTTCCCAGAGCAGAGCTCACTGCTCTCGTGGAGATTGTACGCCATGTCAGGTGGTCTGAATCGCTCGTGATTGTATGTGACCATATAAATCATGTCAAGGCCTATGATAAGGGCAGGGACCACTGCCTTCACCTTGCCAATGCTGACCTGTGGTGGGAGTTCTGGGTGTTGGCTAGTAAGAGGTCTGTTCCCCTTGAGCTAGTGCATGTGCCGTCACATTTAGCAGAGAATTCGGACAAGCTTGAACGGTTTTGGAGAAGCAATGACCCGTATCATGTCTATATCAATCGCGTAGCGGACGAGCTCGCCGCCAGTAAAGCAGATGCGCATCAGGTACCCGCGCACCAGTGCCAGGCTTTGCTGGCGCTTGAGCTTAAGGCCAAACAGGTCTTGCTCCGGATTGCCACTCTCACTTTGGAGATCGCGAGTAAGCCGAAGAACAAGGAGCGCGTGGTCGTGAAAGCGAAGGTTCCGAGGCTGCTCGCCCTCCGCCAGAAACGAGTAGATTTTGTGAGCCGATCGCAGCACCATTTTGAATTGCGCGCGCCTGGTCTCTGGCGCTGTTCTGAATGCGGACTCCATGCCAAAGAAAAGACTCGGGGGGTTCGGGACCGTGTCCTTTCGGCCTGCGCGGCCCTGGCTCCGAGGGCCCCTGTCCCGCCCCCCCGCCTGTGGTCTGCGCCTGGTCCCCTGGCCCCTATCGATGGTGCCCTTTGGATCAGGCTTGGCATGGAAGATCCGCCTGTGCTCGTATCCCACCCTGCTTTCATTGCAGGGCAGCAACTATCTTCTTCACATGAGCTGTGGCATAAAGGCAAATATACATTTTGTGGTTTGTGTGGTGCGTGGGCCACGCAGCGACCAGTCAACCTGTTAGCTGGTTGCGTTGTGGCCCTGGATGGGCCGCACCGTATTCCCCCTAAGCAGCTGCAGGCTTTGCAGCGAGTTCGCAAAGGATTGCCTCCGCAGCAGAGCTCTCGTGTGTGGGATTCCGGGTAGGAGCCCGTCGTTCAGCTTTAGCGCGCTGACGGCCGCACCACTTGCTTCCACCCCCCTCGGGGTCTCTGGGAGCTGGCGGGGCCACCTGCCCAGAGGACTCTGTGTTGGTTCCCACCCCCAGGGTGCTCCAACCTCCTCTGGCCTTTTCTTTTCTGTGCTGGTGTCGTTGCTTCAGTGCACTTTTTAACTTCGGTGCTGGGCACCCTTCATCCTGCAGTCGTCCACGCATTCACCTGCAGTGCCGTCGGTAGCAGCATACAGTGAAAAAGAAGTCCTCCTCCTTCTCCTCCTCCCTCTTCCTCCTCCTCCTCCTCCTCCTCCTCCTTCTCCTACCTATGGTATAGGGGGGCCCCCCTCCGAGCGGAAGGTTCGCGTCCCTGTGACTCTCCATTTGGGCGTGTTCTCCGGCCAGTGGGGCAAGCGAGGGGGGGAAGTGAGAAGGGGAAAGTTTCGGTCTCGAGGTTCGAGGTGTTCGGACGTTTTCGTCGGTTCTCGGCGGTTTTTCAGCCTCGGGGTGCGTTCCAGCGGCTGCGCCTCGCCGAGGGCGTTCGGGGGGTGCCTGGATCGTTCCGAGCGGCCACCAGAGAGCCGAGCTATGACCCCAAAACCGCCAGGCGTCCGAGAAGGAGAAGGCCTTCACAGAAGGCGGCGAGGTCTTCTCAGAAGCTCTCGCGCCTTCTGAGAAGCCTTCTGTGTGTCTTCTGGGGGGAGGTTTGGAAAGCTTCTCAGATGGCCTGCGGGCTTCCGAGCCTTCTGAGAAGGCCCACCCCTTCTCGCTTCCCCCCGGGCTCGCCGCCGAGAGATCCTCGGGCGGGTCCGGTCGGGACGGCGGCGGCCATCTTCGGAGGCCTCCCGGGGCACGAGGCATCCATGCACGCCGATCGTTGGAAGTTCAAGAAGGGGCGACGCGTCCTGGCTTTTGTGGTTTGCGCGACAAGTTCTTGGAACATGTCTTTTCTGTGCTGGTGTCGTTGCTTCAGTGCACTTTTTAACTTCGGTGCTGGGCACCCTTCATCCTGCAGTCGTCCACGCATTCACCTGCAGTGCCGTCGGTAGCAGCATACAGTGAAAAAGAAGTCCTCCTCCTTCTCCTCCTCCCTCTTCCTTCTCCTCCTCCCTCTTCCTCCTCCTCCTCCTCCTCCTCCTTCTCCTACCTATGGTATAGGGGGGCCCCCCTCCGAGCGGAAGGTTCGCGTCCCTGTGACTCTCCATTTGGGCGTGTTCTCCGGCCAGCGGGGCAAGCGAGGGGGGGAAGTGAGAAGGGGAAAGTTTCGGTCTCGAGGTTCGAGGTGTTCGGACGTTTTCGTCGGTTCTCGGCGGTTTTTCAGCCTCGGGGTGCGTTCCAGCGGCTGCGCCTCGCCGAGGGCGTTCGGGGGGTGCCTGGATCGTTCCGAGCGGCCACCAGAGAGCCGAGCTATGACCCCAAAACCGCCAGGCGTCCGAGAAGGAGAAGGCCTTCACAGAAGGCGGCGAGGTCTTCTCAGAAGCTCTCGCGCCTTCTGAGAAGCCTTCTGTGTGTCTTCTGGGGGGAGGCTTGGAAAGCTTCTCAGATGGCCTGCGGGCTTCCGAGCCTTCTGAGAAGGCCCACCCCTTCTCGCTTCCCCCCGGGCTCGCCGCCGAGAGATCCTCGGGCGGGTCCGGTCGGGACGGCGGCGGCCATCTTCGGAGGCCTCCCGGGGCACGAGGCATCCATGCACGCCGATCGTTGGAAGTTCAAGAAGGGGCGACGCGTCCTGGCTTTTGTGGTTTGCGCGACAAGTTCTTGGAACATGTCTGTCTCAGACTGGGTTATGTTAGTGCATCGGGTTTGATGATCTAAGGACAGTGTCACTGTTTTTAGAACACCCGGTCGGTCTAAGAACATCACGTGATTAGGCCTATGCATGCTTTCTCCAGGAGCCCCTCGAGCTGCTTCGAGAGGCCTTCACACGCCCTTCCGGCGCCTTGCTATCTGGGTTTTGGAATTCACAAGTACCAGGACGGTCGGTCCCTGCTCAAGAAGTATGTATGTTAGGGTGTCCAGGTCCCCAATCTACTTCAAGCGCCTTCCTACTTCAGGAGTCGATGTTTTTGTTGTTGTTGCTGCTTGTCTTCGGGCAGGCCCGAAGCCAGTCTGCTTAATCCTCCGCCTTCCTGCTGCATGCTCCCACTTGCTTCTTCCAGCTGACGGGTACTGCGACAGTCACGTTAGCCAGTGTGGGCCCCAAGCTGTATTTTCTTGCAAAATATGCAGTGCAGTCTAGGTGGCGCAATGACAGTGTTGCAGTTTAGGCGTGGGTGGTGCAAACAAATGGTAAGTTAAGCCATGTAAAGCAATGTAATGCGAGGCAAAGCAATGCAAAACCATGCAGAGCAACGCAAAGCAATGCAGAGCTTCCGATGCGAACGGGCGGGGGTGCAACGGGGTGGCGGCGACGGACGGCAACGGGGCCGCCGGGCCAACCGACGGGCTCCCTATTGGGAAACAATGCAGCGTAGCGCGATGCAATGCCAAGCGGTGCTAAGCAATGCCAAGCTATGCAAAGTAATGCCAATCATTGATGCCAATCAATGCCCAGCAATGGCAAGCAATGGCAAGCAATGGCAAGCGTTGTCAAGCAATGCCAATGAACGCCTGGAAATGCCAGACGATGCCAAGCAATGCCAAGCAGCACCAAACAATGCCAAGAATAGCAAAGCAATGTCAAGCAACGTCAAGAAAGGCCAAGCAAGGCCAAGCATCGCCAATCAATGACAATGAATGGCAAGCAACCCCACGCAATGCCAAGCACTGCCACGTAATGCCAATAAGCGCCTAGGAGCACCAACCAACACCAAGCAGTGAAGAAAGCAATGCAGCGCACTGCCAGAAAATGTCAAGAAAGGCCTCTCAAGGCCAATCAATGCTAAGCGTTGACAAGCAATGCCAAGCAAGGATGCCAATCGATGGCAAGCAAGGCCTAGAAAGGCAAATCAATGCCAAACAATGCTCCGCAACGGTAAGCAGTGTACATCAACGCCAAGTTATGATTCCAACCAATGCCAAGCAATACCAAGCATTGCATTGCTCAGACCTCCGTTGGATTGCTCTTGGAAGGCAAAAGACCCCTAATTGGGGTCGCGCTGGGCTCACTTCTTCAAAACATCGGGTATCTAGGTCCTCCTCGCCGGCGTACGACAGGTCCACTTCTGGGCCTCATGAGCTTGACCTCCTGAGGAGGACGTCTTGGCAGCCTCCTCGGGGGGGACTTCTCCTTATCCCCCTGCCCCTCCTCCTTGCTCTCTTGCCCCTCCTCCTCATCCCCCTCCCTTGCGCGGTAGGAGCGCGCTGTCTTCGATTCTTGTATTTCAAGGTATTGCATGGGCATCGGACCCGTTGGCCCTCAGGAAGCGAGCGAGAGAGGAGGAGGAGGAGGAGGAGGAGGAGGAGGAAGAGGAGTAAGCCTCTCCTCCTCGTCGACGCACGACGGCCACTCCCCCCGACGCCGTGATCTTCTCGCAACGTGGACCAGAGGTCCTCACACATTTTCCATGATTGGATTTTCATCTTGGACAGTGTTTGGCTTTGCCGTAGACGGGCTAACGGCGATGCAGGTAACGGCGATGTAGGTTTCGGTAGTGTGGGAACGCGTGGTTTGCGCTTTCTTGCAATTCGCTGTGTCATGCTCGCTCGAACCATTCGCAGATCGGAAGTGTAGGAAAGTGTGGTCGTGATTTCCCACCATTTTGTTCCCAACATCACCGTTGAGCAACATCGCCGTTGGCCCCGCTTTGGTTTTGTCCTGGGGCCCACAAGGCGGCCTCCAGAAGCCAGAACGACCACCGAACACTTCCTGTCGTGATGTTCATTGTGACCCGGCCTCGCGAAAGGGATGCAACATCCTGGAGCAGCACATCCAGATCCCTCGATCCCACTGTGAAGGCCTGACGACCGGTGCCGCCGACCCTGAAAGACATCGACGACGACCAGGAGGGGGAGGAGGAGAAGGAGAAGGAGGAGGAGGAGAAGGAGGAGGAGGAGGAGGAGGATGAGGAGGAGGAGGAGGAGGAGGATGAGGAAAAGGACTCCCCCCTGGCCCCCCCCCCTGGGGAGCAGGACCGGATCCCATCTTTCTGCGGCGTGTCCCGAGTCAGGTCGACCCGCGAGGGCCCAGCATCGAGGCGAGCACACGCCTGGAGCGAGCATGCTGCGGCGCCCCGCTCGGGGGCCCGCGCCTTCCAGCCGCCCCCCGCGAGCTTCGATGGCTTTTTTCCCAACCAGCCTGTGGTGTTGGGTCCTCGTTTTGAAGAGACAGCGCCCCGCGTCTCTCCTCCTTCCTTCCTTCCTCCTCCTCCCCCTCCTTCCATCACCGCCGTCATCATCATCATCATCATCATCATCATCATCATCATCAGCAGCAGCATCATCATCATCAGCATCAGCATCAGCATCATCATCATCATCATCATCATCATCAGCATCAGCATCAGCATCATCATCATTATCATCATCATCATCATCATCATCATCATCATCATCATCATCATCATCATCATCATCATCATCATCATCATCATCATCATCTTCATCACCGTTTTTTTTTCGGTCCCAGACTCGGCGGCGA